GGAATGTGCACAGTTCTCTATAGGATACCTAAAACGATCACATTCATTTATTCCCTAATAGCTAAGGTACTCAAAAACCAGGCTAAGAAGCAAAGTTAGCTGTGGAAACCTTCGCAAAAAATGTATTGAATATTCTCAGTTACGTGATAATGGATATGACCTGCAAACAAATTCAAAATGAGCTCATGACATTAGCTTTGAAATGATCTCCCTCTGTTGCCAGTTTTTATGCGAGAAAACTAAGATGATTCAAGGAAATTGGAATACTTTAAGAAACACAAACACAATAGAAGCAAACAAGGTCCCTGCGAATCTATTCCTTCATGTTCTTGACACGTAAATTTGGGTAGTTGTTGCAACATGCTTTTTGCACTTTTAAAGACATTTGTTAACACTTAACCAAAACTTGACCAAAACTCTCTTTAGGAAATACATTTCACAACTCAAGCAAACATGCAAAAGTGTAAGATGAAATGTTGATTATCATTTTTTGTGCTTGTGCTAAAAACATTTTGAGTCAGTAAATGTAGTTGGAGATTTGGAAAAAGGAAAAAAATTAGGAGTACGGCAACTTTCCACGACAAACAGATTGATCAAAGAACGAAATACCAAATACAAAAGGTTTAATTGTAAACCAGATACTTACCAAAAACAAAAAATATATCAAAATTATATCCACTACAGTGGCAACAATATTCAGAACATTTAGTAGAGAGTTAGCTGCGTTAAAAACACAGTCTTGAAATGTCAGGTGACATAGCGGGTTTTTATATCCTATTCTATTTTCGTTATTTTGTATACGTACCTTTGATAAACTATTAGCTTTTTTAAATAAATATTTTTAACATGATTTTGTGAATAAATTTTTTCTAACATTAATATGAAATAATGGAATAAAAAAGGTTTTTTGCAGCTAATATTCATTTTGTACGACAGAATCTCCAGGGACTTGATGTTTTCCGGCCTCTCTTCGGATTCACCACTGACTGTCCAGTGAGTATTGTAAAAAAGGAGTTTTGTATGGTGTTATGCTAACATCGGTCTTGTCTATAGGTTGAGAAATGGCAGTCCCTTGTGTATTTGATGTAATTTTCTGTATTTGCATCTTTTCATCTTTCAAAATTATTAAAAAGATAGTTTTCATAAATATTTTCATTCTTATGGTAGAAAAAATTTTCAAGACGTAAATCCACTCGTTTACAACGTAAAGTAGCTTGAGTAGAAAGTTGTGAGTAGTTAGTCAAATAGATACGTAGGAATGAAACTGATATTTATTAAGATTGAGTCTCGATTAGACAAGCAGATAAGCATAAACAAGTTTACTTGTGTGTGATACTTTATCCAAATAACGACTATTTAATGAATGAAACATTAAGTACCAGATCGTAAATGATTGGCAAAAAAACAAGCTTATCAAACGAACTCGTTATCATTTTTCTCTTAATAACGAGTAATTGCTCGAAATGTCGTGCTTTGACAGTCTAAACTTAGGGTACAAAAGTATAGAAACAGTAGTAAAAAATGGCCGTTTGCAGGGGCCAATTGTCTAAGCCAACAAACTTCCAAATTTACTAGGTGAAGGGGCCTTGAAAGGAGAGGGTTTGACAGAAAAATAATGCACCATCTCTATGGTTTCAGAATAAAAATTAATTTGAGAAATTGTTCTACTGTTTTGGGAAAGAAATTCGGGGAAACTTCGAACCAATGCTTCAAAAAAATAATGGAACAATATAATCGAAGGATTCAAAAACAATTACGATAAAAAATAGCAGTTTTAGAGAACCACAACATAGTTCGTTCAAGGTTTGATCTGGATATGTTCACGTTTGTTCTAACATTAAAAATTTTACTGGGAATGTCCTTTTAGCTGAGGTTTCGAGTTGTCAAGTGATGACGCCACAAAAATCAATGATTTTAGGAACTGAGACCAAAATAACAGTAATCCATTAGCAAACTTCAAATCTTCTATTTGCCATAGCTCATCCGATTTTTGATAAATTCAACAGATTTTGCATATATGGGAGTAGTTCGTGGTGTTCTTTAAATGTTATGTGGTCAAAATTCGAAAAATTCTAAAAAAGTTTTTTGTAACGTCACACTTGAGAACTCTATCAGCTTAAAGATTAATGAAAATGATACCAGATGAATTCATTATAAACTGATGTTTAGCAATCAAAACAGCTTGCTGTCTAAATAACATACAACTTGGATTTGAATAAATTTATTTACGAATTACGAAAGCTTAATTAAGATAGAACGTTTAAGTCTACTTTGTTCAAATTGTTACTTGTATAGATGCTGAACAAATCAAAGATATAAGATACACAGTCAGTTTGGTCAAATGAAGAGCGACTCAGCTGGTATCAATATTGAAACTTCAAAGTCCTTGTGCTAGATTTCTGCTGAGAGAGTCTTTTTAGTGGCAATTTTGTGAGCGTAGTGCTTTAAAGGACTTGCTGTAATTTTTACTAAAGAAGGTACACCCTTCGTTAAAAAAGCTACATTTCATTGCCATCTTTCACAAATACTGCAGCAACAATTTGCAGAACCATTTTAAAGATGTGCTTAAAATTTTTTCTTGACTTCTTCCTCAAAACTGCCAACTAATTTGTGAATTTTGACTTCAACTAAAACGTTGACTTGAACGCATATTCGTGCAGTAAACAATCGTTTCCAGCCATCTTCACCTACTAATTCTGTTTTGGAAATTTCTTGGCTTAGGCCCTTGGTCACTGTGAGTCACAATTCTTAACTACCGTTTCCAAACTTTTGTCCCTCAAGAGTATTTGATTTTGATACTTAATTTCGTTATCTTACTAAATTCACTAATTATAATGTCGATACAAAGCAAATAAAGATTGTCTTTGTTGCGAAAATCTCCCCCTGTAGGCCTAAAGGTTTGAGAGGGGTAACTCGCCATCCTTCTGTAACGTGTGTGCTTTGGATAAGGTATGAAAATGAAATTCAATGTAACAATATATTATTCATATATCTAAGAACTTATACGCGCCTTAATTTTTTATTTTACCCGCGCCTTAAGCAAAAATCAAATTACCTACGTAAGCTTTTGTCCGTAAACCAAGAATTGAAAACATTAACAAATAAAAGCATTATGAAATTGAAATTTTGAAATGAGACTGGAAGTAACATAAAGTGATTGCTTGATACTTGTGAACGACAGTCTACATTTCCAATGCAGACATGAAATTGTAAGTTTAACTTCAATATAAGATCACTCACCAAATTTAACATATTTACTCAAAAGAGAAACGAACGAAATCAATCATTTTGTAAGGGCTATTTGCAAGTGCTCAAGTTCCCTTTCTTCAACCGTTCAAAATGGCCGCCAAAACAAAAATATACCTCCTGCGCAGCCGTGAGTTAGACATTGAGCGCCTCCGGCGTTCTATACCGTCGCAATGGACACAACCCCTTCAGTTCAGTAGCATACAACCCCTTCAACCGCAATCCCTAGACAAAATGAACGATTTCTTCAAAATTTGTATGTACATTACTGTTTTGCTTCCATGTTGTATTGAACCAGTTTAACGCTTCTCCATTTTTTGGTCAACCTGCAGGAGAAATTTTCTGGGGCAATTTTCCCCCTTGCCCAACCCTCGGCGGCCATGCTTATATATTTATCAATTATAAGCTCTTCCATAAGAATTTATTCAAATTTTGAAGATGCTGTGGTAGACACAAATTTTGATATTGAAATCGAACTATATCTTCAATATTTGCCCCGAGAATAATTCAACATCATATTACTTGGAGAAATGTGAATTTGCAAATTCATACATATATATTTATTAATTCTATACTAAGTAACTTTTAGAATTCAGAGAAACGCTTAATCTTGCTGCTGGCCAGCTGATAACAGGACAATGACCCTTCAAAATTTGGCCAATAGCTAGGATGAAAACTGTTAAAAGGAGCAGTCGTCGAATGGCCAAATTAAGTGGCAAAAATTTTATTCAGTAAGTAGAACCTATTTGAAGTAATGATGAGTGCAACCAAAAAGAAAATGAATTAACGAAATACACACGGCAATAAACATGATAAACATTTGTTCATGATAAATAATCATGATTGATTACTTTCTGATTATTTCTGGAACATTCTTACTGTTTTGATTATGCCCTATGCAGTTTTAATAAATTTTGATTTTAGTCCTACGATTTTCATTGTTCCATAAATATATTTTCCAGTGATTAGTTGATGATTAAGCATATTTTAAAGATACTCTTCTAATACGTTTTGTTCTTTCCATAACATAATGGTGATTGTCCCTCGATTAAAACCAAGGATTTTACACATCGTTCGAGAGCTTCTTGTGTTGAAAGCAGAGTGAGATTGCACCAAAGAGTGGCTGAGACATATTTCTGCAGGTTATTTCATCAATCATAAAGCCTTTTGGAAGGGTGGGACTGCTTAACAGTGCTCTTTGCAAATTATTGGCATAGATGGTGCTTACATCAAAGTTCCACAGGAGTATGCTATCAGCGTGAAAGGCTCTCAACCAGAGGTGGCGCCAGAAATCTTCCGACAGAGGGGTTTGAGCTTCCGACAGGGGGGATAAAATGACTAAAATATGCAGTTTTCATACGTTATTTTGTCAATTTGCTCCGACAATAACCTAAAATTTCCTCCGATAGGGGGCTAGATGCTTCCGACGGAGGGGCTGGAGCCCCCTCGCCCTCCCCTGGCGCCACCACTGCTCTCCACCCTCTGAGGTCAGGAATAAACGTCCCCTTCCGTCCGATTTTGGGGATTCTGAAGAGCCCAACGCCTTAATGCAGCCCTTTGTTTCATCAATTACAAAATTAGACCTAAAATTCGAAATTAGAAATGCCTTTGGGGCCACTTAGCAACATACTTTAGCTCCATAACAGGATAACCTCTGTGTATTAACACCCCCTGTTATTTTACTTTGGACAGAACCATATTATTCCCGGCCTCAGAGTGACAGGCAAGAGACTAAAGGCGATTCCCGAATATTCCTCTTATTTCAATCATTCAAGAGATTCACGAGATCAATAGAACATAGCGCGAATGATAGCAATTTTACATTCGTAAACTGACGACTCTATTTACAGATTTACCTTACGTTATAAATTATTGGTTGCTGACCGTAACAAAGCAATATATAAACGTAATAAAATTATAAACGCAATTTAGCTAAAATTGGGCTACTGCATATAACACGAGCTAATTTTGAGATAAAAAGCTGCTACAGTGTAAGTAAAAGTAGCATCGATTAAACTTAAGGCATAATCAAGATTAAATGGAACTAGAGACTTTGGGAGAGTATTTAAAATGACGTAACCACTGATACACTCTATCACTAGACAATAAATACAGGGGAAGCCCAAAATTGTTAAATATTTCATATTTTTATCAGGAGAAAAACTTCATGCAGAAGTTTGCCTACTTTGAAGGGAATTGATTATTACCCAATCCAAATGCCTTTATTTTATGAGGTAAGAAAAAGCCCGTTAAAAAGCGCAGGATTACGCAGAGAATTTATTCGTTTTAGCGAAACTATGATAAAAAATAAAGGGATAGCCCTACTCAAGTTAAAAAGATAGATTTTCCAGTTTGAAGATTATCCAGCTAAATCAACAACGCATGCATGATATTTGGATACCTCGCTGTTCTAAGACTCTAAAATATTTCTGTATGTGTTACATATAATTACATGTGACATGTGCTACATGTTACATAGAATAGAAGACAAGAAAACAAGCAAGCAAGGTGTATAGAGGGCAGGAGAGTTCGAGGATATCATGATCACTGGTGAATTTTGGTGGAAAAACGAATTTTCATACTGGCATTAACGCCTAGCTGATTACAACATTTTTGCAATCGATTCGAAAAGAACATCTGGAAAACCCTCCTGTCTGTTTGAACATCCAAATGTGCAAAGTAATGAGGTAAGCTAAAAACATCATATTTGTGAAATGCTTGCCTTCTAGCACATTCATCAATACTAAAGGATTGTTACATACTTTTCTCATAAACTTATGATTTACAGACAATTTGTGTTCACTAATTAGCAAAAATTTACAACAAATTAGTCGACCTTACAATAAGAAATACACTAAAATTGGCTCAACTAAAAGGAAAGTGCGACTGTTACGGTCAATGCTGTTGATTAACTAGAAACCACCGTCAGCGCTTGCAAAACGACTGCTGTCAAGCAACTGCACACGGTTTTTTGCAACTACATACATGATGTTGATAAATAATGTTACACTTGAAATATTATAGAAGGAAATAATCCAATGTTCACTTCTGTTCGCTGCAACAAATGTGTTCGTGAAGAGAGCCATTTTGTTGATTAGCTTCTTAGATGTGTATTAGCCCCTCTGTCCCACCAACCTCGTTTCGATTGTTCTGTCAAAGAATATATGACCAACCACGAATTTCATACTTTATTCAACACAGGTGCTTCATGTCATCACGAAGTTCAAGAGCATAATCCACCTATGGATTCATCTTTACGCATTTCAGTAAGGGTTTTGATTTCCTATAAAGATAAAACCAGCCATAATAAGAGGGCTCGTTGTTTTGAGACCAAGAAGAAGTTCTCAGATCCGATAAAACGTTAACTACAAAGTGATAACCTCCCATGTAAAAAGAACATAACCAGTCGCAACAATAACTAACTTGTGTTGAAATATTAGTCCCTTTTAATGAAACAAAAACAAGTTCAACCACCTAACTTTAGCAAGTAATATTTTAGGCAATCCTCAATAAACAAATTTGGCAGGCATTGTGCCATTAATGCATAATTGTCGCTACGGCACAAGCACAGGCAATCTGTGGCTGATGTAGCTATCACTGGACCTCAACCAGCGATTGGGACGCAGGATCTGCTTTGAAGGCTCCGTGTCCGAAGTCATTTCGATGGCTATCTAAATTCCTATTGGTTTGACTATACAATAGACCTATTGTTACGTAGCCGATTAGCAATGTAAGACTGATAACGTTTCCTCAGTCATAAAGGCAACCTTTCATCAACTCTGAACAGATGGCTGACGGGAAATAGTTAGTGCCTTTAAATCTTTTCTTTCTTATATTAATCTGAAAGGTTACGTCTTATTGACAAGAGTCGAGGGGAACAGAGAAGCGAGAAAAATTCTAAAATAATTCCAATTAGATACCAAAGATTGAAATATTTCCTTGTTTTTCATTCATTAATGCCTTTAAAAATGTCTATGTTCATCTCTTCAAAACATTTATCGCTGTCTCGAGTAATTGGGATTTCTTTAGCGAGGCTATTGCCTCGTAATATTGTGTTATGCATAGGCACACTTCAAACAGGAATGTGTGTACATCTAGGCAAGCTGCTTGATAAACATATTGGATCAACATGACTCTGCTAAATTATTCTTGGAATTAAATTAGACAAAACAAGAGCTGAAATACTCTAAGAAGGACTAAGTTTCGGAATAAACCATCTTCAATATAACTTCCAGTTACTTATTGGCTTTTTTTTCACAGCAACGACTTCGTGCTTTTAGATGGCCACAGGCGTCAGAGAACCCTGGGAAACATAAGAGTCTGCACACCATTAAAGGGGATATCAAAAGGAGACACCAAAGGGGTAGCGTTGCAATGAATTTAATAAATGTTATGTTAGAGTATAGCTCTTGTTTTGAGTGTTTACGTCTCATTTTAACATCGCCTGGATCGCTAACGATGAGGAAATGCACACCGTTTTGGTGGCTAGATTTTCAAGCAGTTTTCTCAGCAGCATGAGACACACACCAAGGAAATGGGCTTCATGTAAAATGCAGCGAAGGCTAATTTCATAAGCAGTAGGAGGTAAACTGACCCTGCCCCCTTTTCAATTCTACATTTCATGTTTGTTGATTGACTTCGATGATCAGCATGGTGTCATTTTAAAACTGATCCCATGCTGAATTATTTCTAAGCATGAATTTGCGTAGATGGTGTTATTTGGAAAAATAATAAGCTTAGACACAAAACAGCTATTCTAAAATCTATACAATAAATTTTTTGTCGATAGACAATATTATCTTTAGCACATAAACTTAAAATCTAAAAATCTTTACCATTGGTTTATAAAAAATACACAATTTTCAAATTAGATCTTTATGAAATGATTTTTGAAATTACCAAAACGGAAAAAAACGCAGTATTTGCTTGTTTTAAAACTATATGAAATCGATAAGGATTATCTCTCTAATATGGCCATGATTTGGGAAAATGAAAAGTATGATTATTAAACACTACGACAAATGACTGAATCGCATTTCTGCCCATTTCAAGGCTGTTGAGTGTTCAGATCTCTTCACCACAGCTATGCATTCACGCACTTGAACTTATAAAAGGTCAGACTAAGAAAATCTTTAACACAGTAAACATTACACTAGGTCTCAGCGAGGCAATTTGCAAAACCCCTCCTCCTCCGTCAATCAATTAACTTCATTACGATTTACTTGAATTCAGCATTCCGTTCGCAAGAGATGCAACAGCGAGATGGGATCTCAGGACGATTCGCAGTAATTCAAACCTATAATCCAATAAATGGTCGTGTAGGACATATTCCTGCGTGACAGGAAGAGATTCTCAAAGGTTATTATTTGTTTTAAACACTGCAGTTATAAGAAGTAGCTCTTTTGATGAGGTTTCTACGGGATTCATGCTAACCTACTTGGATAACTACAGACCTGTCAGCAAGCAAACTTCCCGAGACCAGCCTCGCTTTGCAAATTAATGCCTCGTTCATGCCTATGAATGTATCCATTCAAAAGTCATACATTGTAAAGCTTCTTATAATACAAAATTCTAACAAATTTCGACCCCTTCTATACGAATATGTTTACAATAAGAATGAATCTTTGGATCTTTGGAATCTTCAGAAATCGCATCGTTTCTGTATAGAAGCGAAATTTAAACTCATTTTTACTGAGATGAAAACGGAATAATTTGAAGTCTTAACTTGGCAAGACATTTTAGAAAGGTGTATTTTTGCCTTGGGGGGAGGCTGTGTCAGAAACTTGAGGTTACTGATGATTTCTGTATTTCGCCAAAGCTTCCTAATATTTAAGGGCAACAAGGCGAGATTCAAAAGCCGTTCGCTTCCTAAAGAATACGAGATAATCTCGCGAAAATGAATTGACGTCAACGAGATAAAATTGGTTTTGTGTTACTTTCCAGGAAAAGAAATTTCCCTTAAGGCATAGTTATAATATTCAAGGGTTCTTCTAGGTTTGCCAGAACGCTTTTACTGACACCCAAAGCAATGAACAAATACTGAGCATTACATTCGGGGGAAACATAGATACACCAGCAGTAAGTAATTGGGATTTCCCCAAAAGTTGGCTCCTCAAAAAAGTCAAATGTTAGTAGAAACTTTCATTTAAAGGCAAGGAAAAGGCAAGGAAAAGTTTCTGGTCAGCTATGCTGGGTACCAGAGCCACATAATTGCGAGTACGCGAGTACGCTTCTCTGCATGGTTTTCTACTTACGTGCTCAGAGTTTTGTGGCTCTGGCACCCAGGATACTGGTCAGCAATTACACAGTTGCAGACACAAATCTAACAACAGTAAGATTATGGTAAGCCCTAGGAACATGGGGCTGAACAAGGTAGCCATAAACACAAGAAGGCAGAATTTACTAAGGAAAAGAGTGAGAGTGTGAATGTATCCATGCCCATGGAACATGGAACGAAATCATTATTACCCTCCTGGACTTAAAAGACTTTCGCTTAAAGATTTTCGCTCGCTTATCTCCCCAACAACTGTGGCAATGCAAAATATTTTTCTCAACCTAAAGATCAACAAAACACCTATGCTTTTTGTCCACGTACTTAACTCCAAAGTCAGGGAGGGAATTTCGATACCAAATTAAATAGTCTAGCTTACACTTATTTGCTATTAAGACGAGACCCTAAAATGATCTGAGTAGCAATGGTAAACACTCTTGTCATTTCCTAACGACAAATCTGCAATGACCGCGAATGTAGAAAAAACAGTAACATATGTGAAGCTACTGATGTTATTCAACGTCATGTGGAAGGTATCAGGGAAATCTTCATCAATTACGGTGATTTAGCAGCCACTTTAACGAACCAAAGTTTTAAAAACAAGAGGAAGCCGACAAGTTAGTTGCCAAGGCACCAATGTTTTTAACACAAGACTGACCAGGTCCAGATAAGTGAAAATAATAAACAGTGAATTCGAACATTAGTTTGATAAACAAGTAAATCTGCTTGGGCGGATATATCATTCTGAAAGTACCTTGTTTACCAGAAGTTAGCAGCCCTGTGGTCCAACAGGGAATTTATTTTTATGAGCATATATAACCTAGATTTTTGTTGTCAAGTGGAGCCAAGGACTTCTAATAGTTAGAATTCTTGCCAAAAGTCCTTGGAAAACCCTACAGTGAGTGAAAAGATTTTGATGAAATAAAAGTTTTCACTCATCAGATACAGAAAGATCCTCTCTCCCCCTCAAAAACATTGTTGGTTGAAACGTCTATTACTCGCCCTAGCTGACAGATTTACACTGGTTGAATTTCAAGCTTTGAAACTGTTTCTATTCAAAAAATTTTCAAGGAGGATCGGGAGAAGCTACTCAACTTATGCGAAACTTTAATGTAGTTTACTAAGACTGTTGGTAAGCATTGTAGTAGATTCTCTTCTGCTTCATCAGTCAAGTTTAGTTTATGTTACTTTTGTTATTTAAGCACCCAATGCTTCTCTCAACCCAGAAATAATGTGCACACCCTCAGAATTTCCCACATGTCTTGCCTACGCCCAAAGTGTGATGATGTTCAATATTATCATCAGCAATTTTTTCTGAATTTTCCCTTTTAGTACTTCTCAACACCAACTTGTAGATATCCATACTGAAAAAGTCACCTGCTATAAATTACTATGAGCGAAAATGGCTCAAATGAACTCTGTGAGTTTGTCCATACTCTTCATATTTCATTGTTGTAATTTTATCATTCTTTGAATCATCACTTAAATCAGATACTTTTTTTAAAACAACAATTCTTAACCTTGGAGGTTTAAACTAGAAAGCGGTTTTTCAAATGAATGGATAAAGGGATAGTTGATTGACGGTTGTCAAATCAGAGCGAAGATGACTCCGTGTCAACTACACACATGAGAAGTACAGCAGGCAGCAGCAGAGGCCTAGTCAAGACCAGAGTGAACACTGTTTAGGTCAAAATATCGAAAGAAAACTGATCAGTTATTAAGTCGAGACTGGCATCAATTTTTATGTCTCCAGAATTTGTTTTGTATAGTTGACTTGCTAGTAGTTGCTGTTCGGTATGTAATTATGATGGATAGAAGCAACTTTGGTTGGTATTTAAAGTAGTTGTTCATTCATAACTTTAATTGGATAGAAAATGATGCCATGTTTTCCGCAACAATATCAATGGGCTTTTCTCCTCTCAAAAAACATCGACATCGAACAAGTTCATTTCTTCTAGCAGACATCACAAGTTCGCAAGCTATTAAAATAATTTGACTATCTATTGGCAACATTCAATTAAATATTTAAAGAAAGAAAAGTAAAGAATAACTAATGCTAAACAAAACCCTAACAAATATCTAAAGATCAGAAGCGATTAACTTAAGTAAAAGGTGTGAACAAATATTGAGAAATATCATAATTTGTGGGTAGCCACAATTACAAACCAACGAAGACAAGGTGAAGTTGGCGACATCATGTCTGCACAAGAACGTCAGTTTCACATTCATCGCCTCGATAATTTAAGCTCCTAGGATTTTATATTCATTGAATAGAAAATCATTTTTAATATGTGTGAATCACCTATGCAATTTTTCAAACTTGATGAAAACATCGGTCATCTTCCGAGAATTCAAAAATGAGTTCAAATGAGCAAGTGAAGAGGCCGTTTTCCTGCGGCAGAACACAAAATTGCAGTAGTTTAGCTTCCACGTTGTAGCAGTTTTTAGGCAAGTTTATGTTAGAAGTTGAAATTTGAGGTTGTCGTTGATATTTCAAGCAAAGGTCTTGAGTACAAAAGACTTCTGTATTTTAGAAGCGACTATCTATTGGAAAACTTCACATGATTTTTTAAATTTACAAAAATGTTACAATTTTCTTCATGAATATTTGAGGTTTAAAAGCATTGTGAATTGGTCGCGAAGATAAAATGCAAGCATTCTATTGAAACAAGCATTTACAGTGCCAAAGAGCAGGACAAGGACCGAACCTGAAGGTGTATAATAGGCCATTTCATGACATATGAATATCTTTCACCCACTGGCGTAAAGAAACAATTTACAGAGAAAAAGAGGAAACAAAGCACCATGTGAAGGACGTTGATATGGAAACAGACATAAAAGTATGTTACAAATGTAGATGACATAAATTCATCGGAATATTTGAGTGCCTTGGGATACCGTGATTTGCAACCACAAAATAGTGGAAGAGGTTTGGTATCCAAAGTTACAGACATGACAAAAACAACTTGTTACGTCAAGATCCCCTAAATCGAGCAAAACAGGTAGGCACCGTGCGCTTGAATGAATAGAAAGGAATTCAAAATAATTGTGGAGCCGAGGCGGCATTTGTTCGCAAGTCCGTTGGCTTTTAAGATTTTGCATCACTTTCACCTGCACCGTTAAAAACGATGACGTTATTTTCACATCGCTTGTATTCTATGGTAGGAATCTTCGTGATTTTTGGGAAACAAGTCAGCCTGTCTCGAATCCAAAGACGAATAAAGTTTAGAAAAATAGATGTCATGAGAAGAGTGAGAAAAAACTCTGGTTTAAATGATGCCTTCGCCCGAATGTGCATTAGACAGGGAATTTTTAACAACAATCGAGCAAAGTGCCAGCCTTAGTTTTTGCTCTTGATTTCGGTAGTTTTAGCGTTGCTGAATATTTTAAGCCTTGGATACATTTTTGTTACATAATAGAAATCACGTGATCAATATCGTCATTTCCCCTGGTCATCAAAATTTTTAACTTTATCTTTTTTGAAAAATCGCTCCAACCATCTTGTTTGGCAATGTAATAGGAGCAAAAAGTTTTTAAGAATAAACTCTATCAAACCAGCAGATAACGAGTTATTGCAATTTAAAGTTTGCACGACGTCATCAAAATGGCGGTTCTCAAGTTTTCAAGCACGTGGAATTCAAAGGCTGATGGTCGTAATTTAGGTTGCTTTATCTCAGTTTTGAAGTTTGTTGACCTTTGTGTTATTCAGCAACTCAAGAATGTCATTTGAACTGATATATTTGCCCGCCTGGGAAACTAAGCATTGAGCAAAAATGCAAGCAAAAGGAAAACGTTCTAATAAAATTTGTTTTCAAAAAGGCTATACTGAAGAGGAGCTTTCGCCAGCACTGATAGACCGTCGGTTCGTCAGCATTGAAGCTCAGCAATGTACTCCAACTTCTACAGTAGCAAGAGAGTGCAATATTAAATAGCACTTACATGCCAAGCATGAGTTGATACCTCTTGCACTCAATCATCACATTTATAGGCGATGTTGCAGCTATCAGATTGTCTGTCGAAGTCATTTGAAGGAAAAGACGCATCTAGCTTTCTCAGATCGGAAAGTTACGGAAATGAGTGCAAGTATTGCTGGTAAGCTATATTCCGAAATATCAAATCGAATAGTTCAATAGAGAGACAAAAATTACATCAGGACTTTTTCGATACAGCTTCATACATTGAAGTTTATACATGCGTTAACACGATTCATACTCATTGCGTGATCAGTGTAGTTTCATATCAAGGCAGCTTTGAAGTTAAACAAGTCAACGAAGAAAGACAAGAAATTGCACCCCAGGCACGAATCGACCCTCAAATCTAAGTTACGACCCGTTGGCATCGATCCCTTTTCCACCAGACAACTAAGGGGCATCACAACTGGTAAGCAGAAGCGTGTCACAGAATATGATATCGGCTTCCATCAAGGCAACAACCTGTTTCTATGTTTCTTCAACAAAGGCTCATTTAAGGTCCATATAGTTTCTTTCCGCCAATTGATAAAGTCCGTTTGAATAGAGAAAGACATAGCTTCTCTTTCAACTGTTGATGGAATTTTATTGTTGTAGAATTCACTTTTTTGTCACTGTATACAACCGTTCGAATGAACTCCCGTGCGTCATCCAAGGCTTTCTTAGCTAACTTCTAGGAAATGGCCAAGTTCTCAATATGCTGGTAGTTTAAATCGTCGTTAATAAGTTTCCCAGCCCTGTAGAAGTAGGATGAGCTATCACACCCTGTTATAGCATGGAATGCTGGCAGGGAAGAACACAGTTCTTTGCCGAGGCTTCTGCAAATGCTTCCAAATTTGACGAATCTCTCATGGTCATAATTGTTGAACCTGTGTGTTTATTTGTATATTCGTGGACGCCCAAATTAAAAGGACAAGAGCATAATGGTTTTTTGAGACAAGGACTACATTTGATTCTGGCATTACTGCATGAGGTACAAACCGATTGTCTACGTTTTTGATCACACGAATGCAAGAACAAAGACTTATTTTTTTAGACTCGATATGTTTGTGTACCTCTATGACAATGAAGAATACTTAAGGCATAATATCCTTTCCTCGCTTTGCACAACACTTGCAATCCTCTTTACAGGCTATTTTAATTTTGCATAGTGATGACGAACTCCATCTTACATTTACATTTTGATGATGCACGGAACAGTCCGAGCGTGTTGCAATAGAAAGCGGCACTGCCTTCTATATTCAAGCTCACTTCTTTATTAGAGCGAAGAAGCTTTTTGTTCTTTTAATGAGCTAAACGATCGAAACTTGAGGGCTGATAGGTGCCTAGGGTGCCATTTCTTTTTCTCTTTGTTGACTCGTTATGCTTCGAAGCTGTCTAGATATGTAATTGCTTTCAAGAACTACTCTGATCATGCAATGCGTATGAATTGTGTTAACACATGCATTAACTTCCATATATGTTTATATAAAGCTATATCGAGAAGGTCCTGTGTAACGTTTGTCTCTCTATTGAACAATTCGTTGTGAAATTTTGAATATGGCTTACCAGTAATTCTTACACCATTTCCATCAATCTTCAGATCTGAGAAAGGTGGATGCAAAGTCAGGGACGGATTTAAACGGCAAGAATTAGGGTGCGGGGTATTAGATAATAATTGAATTTTGGTGTCACACCCTTTATGTCCTTGGAAAATGATGGAAATGCCTATAATTAAAATTCTGCTTTAACTTCAAGATAAAGAAGATAACAAGATAAACAAAGAATAATCTTGGCCATATTTGATTACTGTTGACTACCAAAAAATGTTTTCAACCAAATGGAAGCAAAATTTGCCAAAGGACACAAATTGTTGCACCCACCCTCCCCCTACCCTCTATATAAATCTGTCCCTGTGCATCGTTTCCTTCAAATGACTTCCACAGACATTCTGATAACTGCAACTTCGTCCCTAATTGCGATAGTTGAGTGCAAGAGGTATCAACTCATGCTTGGCATGTAAGTGTTATTTAATATTGCACTCTCTAGCTGCTATAACAATTGGAGTACATTGCCGAGCTACAATGCTGACGAAGTAAGGCACTTTGCTCGATTGTTGTTAAAAATTCCCTGTCTACGTGGGCATAGGATGGACTTTCTCACTGACTCAGACAAACTGATAAAATAATGGCACTTCACAATAGGAATCTAGACCCGTCTCTCCAATAAGAAAGCTGATACTGTTCGTGAAGACCTATCGTAAAACTCGACATGCTGTAAAATCAGAGCTTGAAAGTTCTACTGCTTGATGATATTAATTTCATTTTTACTACAATTTCTCATTACCCCTGATTAGGCCAACGTTTTAGACCAGACTGTGATTGAACTAAGTGCAATTTTTAAGTCGTTTACAAGTGCTAACACATAACAGTATAAAGAAAAATGACAGGCAAAGGGGATCTACTGGGGTCTAGAGGGTTAAAAGGGGGCTCGAGCAAAACCGCTTGGACAGCTCTAGCTCACTGTTGTCTCCCTGGATTTTGAATTTGAACCGCATAAAGAACTTGGAAAGCAAAAAGTTGGTAGCAATTCAAAATGGTAATAAAGATAAAAATGAGCGTTACCATAGTTTCCCTGACCAGCCAAACAACTTGCAAACGAGACCAAATCCACAAGCACAGTCATGATCTTTGCTATACTCTATACCACCAAAAGACGCGGAGCAGTTTTGTCCTTCAGTCAGGTATTTTTTGCATATGCTTTCACCTTCCTCTCTTGCGCAACACAGGCCCTCATCGCAGTCATTGTGCATTTTGCAGCGACTGTTGTATAATCCAGGTCTCTGTGCTTTGAAGCATCTTCCCCACATGCAAAATGCACCTCGAACGCAGTTACCCGTTCTTCTACAAAGACCTCCTGTATACTTCTTCTTCTCGCAGTATTTGTAGTTTTCATGACAAAATTGGTCATCTTCACAGTTCTGATCAAGATTGCACGACTTGCCCTAAAGTAAGACAAACGAGACAATACATAAAAGTTTGCTAGCATGTATTAATGCAAAATTTATAGCTGGTAGACACATTGTGATGAAGGCCTGGTACATTTTAGTACAATAAGTCTTCGTATTATGACAAGGTCGTGGTAGGAAACTTTGGAGCGACAAAGCTAAGAATCGCTCACTTAGCATGGAGTTAAAAATGAGTCGATAATGATCTGAAGACTTCAGATTTCAGCTAAAATGTGAATGGTCTTATTCATCTTTAATGAACTAAATGGACAGTAGAGAGGTTTTATGATCGCATTATGACGTAAGGCAAATGCTCAAAAGATCATTATTCTATTGATCTCTACTATGGAGGAAATATTGAGATTTTTGGATCGAGGGGTGTTGGTTTCAGGCGTCACAACACTCGCTGTTTACAACGATATTCACGAAATATAAGCTTTAAAAGAAAAAAATCATAGTCGCAGCTCTTGAATTCAAAGCCATCTTTAACCTCAGCGAGCGTTTATCAGCTTGATGAGGTATTAGTGATGAAAAAAGCATAATTCCTATTGACGCCAAATTCTGCGCACGACAAAAGATGCTAAATTCTCGATCACGTCAAGGGTAGGAGATCTCGATTCAGTTCTCGAGGCTATTGCCAGAACTTAAACACTAGCTCCCATGGTATGCGATTGTCCACGACCGAAGGTAGCAAAAACGTTTTTAAGTATCATTTTTAAAGAAGGCAATGTTGCCAAATGTGCCGCTGCAATGCTGAAGGTTGTCAGTTGAAATCAGCGTTCGATTCAATATTGACAGGCTAGCCTAGACTTACTCCATGAGCCTCTGTTTCGCAACTGCCTCACTTGACGGACGCTACAACAGAGACTCATAATCCAAAGTACTCAAAAGGCAATTTCAATTTTGTCTCGTTCTCGACTTCTTTTCAAAAATTTTCAAATCCACCCCCTGATTTGTACAGCTCTTTCATTCACATGTAAAAATGTTAGTTTGTTCGTATGGACGGTTTTTTCTTCCTCTTCTTTGGGAATTGCAATTTCTCTGGTGTGGCTGTTACAGTGAAAAGTTCTGACTTTGCAACGGTAAGTAATTCTTTTTGCGGTATTTTCCTATAATTTTTTCAAAGATGTCATCTAGAAAAATTTTTATAAGTTATTTCACTTCTTTGCGTGAATTGCTGTGCCTTGTAACTAAAATGAATAAAAGTCTCAGATTTTGTTACCTCAATGATGTCCTAAGTCAAATTAATGGAGATAGATGAATAACTGAAGGAGAAAAGCATGGTTCAGGAAAATCGAAAACAAGGGCTGAATTTATTTCCAAGCGTTTATTCTACCGATAATTTTTTCCAGACCAATTTAATTTTGATGTCACTTTCAAATATTGCAAGTTAAGCCAAATTTTGAACTAGTTCTTGTAGCTAAGACCGCAGCAAAAACTAGGATATTGAAATGGATAAAGTTGTGCCTCTTGTTAATGTGAGTAATTTTTTGTTATTATTTTGTGGTAAACATGTTTGCATCCAATTGAATTTGGTATAAACTAATTATATTCACTGAGTTGTGGTGTTTATCGTCTGAACTTCTCCAATATCAGGGTGCATTCTCCAGGTAGGCCCGAATGTGTCCGGCCTGGGCTTAGAAAAACCCCTTAGGTGTACGAAAGAAAAGTCCTCTTACTCGGCGTATCGGCGAGAGAAAATCCCTAGGATCAATTAATTTTAACGCTTATAGGTGTATCATTGACAGAATTATTATGAATATGAATGGAAATACAAATTTATCTTATCCTGTTTAACAAAACTTGATATCATATTTTTCGTTAAATTTTAGCAGGACTCACTATGGTTTCATTGTTTCGTCAAACCGGCTCGATACTTTCGTGAGTGGAGTGTACTAAGGCATATCCTCGGAACAAAAAGTTCAAACAGAAATGCATACAAATTGTTTCCATTTGCAGTAGGGGGCGAACGCGAAAACGTGTTTTTCATTGTACGCTTTGCGATAGAATTCACTTTCAAAATCTACGAAAACAGCCAACAGATATCTGCCATTTCTCGACAGTGATATTTTGTAACGCTAACGACACGGGGGTTAGAATGTTTTTAAAAAGATACCTTGTTATGAAATAAATTGAGGATCCAGACAATCAGAAAGCCGTATTTTAAAAAGCTGCTTTGTGATTGGTAAGACAAAAAGTTGTCCTGAGCGCCAGTTTTTGAGTACTTTGGAATATGAGTCTCTGTTGTAGCTTTCGTCAAGTGAGGCAGTAGCGAAACAGAGGCTCATAGAGTAAGTCTAAGGCTAGCCCCCATTCCACCTATAGGTAACTGCCCCAGTACCACCATGACAGATGCTACGTTACAAAGACGTTCTGGATAGCAAATGCTGCAATCAGCGGCTAAGACAATGCCCGATGAGAAAGTCAAGGCATACTGCCATCGTATTCTTATTTACACACATCAAGCCAAGCGATTTTTCTTTAAACTAGTAAAATGCCTAAATGTCGAAATCATGTGAGAAATTTTCAAGAAAATAGGCCTATGAAACAAATTAGGAATTCGAATCTTCGTGATCGTTTAATATCGAGTGAGTGTTTGACTTCAAATGTTAGTGACAAATGCAGATGATACTTAAGAAACTGTATGTTTTGATTATTCACGTGTTTATGCTAGAATCAATAATGATTTTAGAAGAAAAAGATACTGCAGTTCCAAGCTGACAAAAAGTGAGTGTTAACGAAAAGTCTTGATTAAAAGTAGCAATTTGCTGTTATTCAAATGTATTGGCAGTAAATACAAGGAACGAGGTCGTGAGACAGACCCAGATGGAAAGACGCGTACAAGGGACAAGGTCGTAATACATTAATACAATAATACAATACTATTATGTGTGTAATACATTGAAATCGAAACTTCATGGACACTCGAACATTTCGAAACTATAAATGTCCGAAATTCTGTTTTGTCAGAAAGATTTTTCTTCTGAAACTTTTTAATTCTAAAGAAACGAAAAACCTAAGGAATCGCATTAGATAGTTGCTTTTCTTAAAACCACTATGTAGTGATATAATTGAGTCCTCAATGCATACCATTTTTGGTATTTGCTCTCAACAAAGAATTTCTTGTGGTCCGCAGGCCACGTGAGTCAAAATCATTCAAGCTATTGAAATAATAAAACACGATTTCAACAATTTGTGATGATTGCAAAGCCAGTTTTCCTCGTTGATCTTAGTTTAGCCCATTTTTGAGTTTATTACTCCTATATGGTTAGTTTACGCTGCCTGTGAAATTACAATGACAGTCTTTATATAAGAACAATTTTAAAAGAATACGGGCCTTCAAAGGCGTAAAAGGATAAATAGTGTAAGAAAAAAATCAAATGATGTGTAATCTGAAAATTCGCGTCCATATTTACACAGGTACACACTCTTCAAGAATTCAGGAGCAATGTTTTGAAGAAACGGAGTTTTGTCTTCGTTTTCTCACGTTTGCGTGACTGAATCCGTGGTTATCTTAATGTCATGAAACGTAGACATCCAGGTTGTCTGACTTGTCTTTGGTATGTGCATGACAGATTATACATCATTCCATACTTTTCATGGGCAAAAACCGTTAAATTTGCGAAACTGCTTGTAAGAAGAAGCTATAAACGACCTAAGTATGCTAAATATTGCTCTAAAGGAAAAGAATTTGCAAACCTATCCAAGGAGCTTTGAATGATAAAAATATTAAAAGTAAAATGACAGAAATAAGGTTTATCAAAGATGGTAAATTTGGATTGAAAGGTTATACCATGTAAAGACGGACAGCTTCTTCACAAAGTAAAACTAAACATGATTGGCTTGAAAGCAAATTATAAGGGAAATTTACCAACACTCTTTGCTGAAGACGTGGAACCTAATCAATATATTGAACACTTATGGAAATGTAAATAGTTTCCAAATGATTTTTTAATAAGCAATACGTTCCTGTTTAAAAACAGCATTAGGCCATTATTTATGGTACTGCCAGTTGGGCATATTGTGGCAAGCACCAGTCTGTACATTGATAGAGAATTGCTTTAAAATATAATTACCACGGAGGGTTCTGAAGCCTTGCATGTCGTTTAAACGTCATCATCTTTTTTATTATGAATGCACGAAAATATCGATTCATTACTTTCGGTGCTTACAAAATGGCGGGAAAGAATTCCCCAATACTGCCTCGGTTAAGATGAGGGGCTGGCTGTTCGACTGGTAACATTGTTGCATGTATATGTGGTACTGGTAATAAAATGATCTGGAGCCATTTACCTCTAAGGGCAATTTCTATAAAATATGGTGGTACTCTATGAGTATAAGAAGCAGGTGACGACGAGCGAGTGAAAAGCTTGGTAAAATAGATAGACCAAGCTAGAGTTTCGTGGATGATACGTATCACATATCACGTTTTTAAATGTCGAAATTCATAAATCGCAGTGCAATAAAACAGAGAGCTGCATCCCTCTGTTCTAATTCCCTTGTTTATCTAGATTGAATCTCAACCATTGCGAAACGGACTGTCACAAAAACTAAGGAAAGCGGCAAACTGAGAAAGAGTAAATAGGAAATTGTACCTAATCGGGGCCACTTAAGTGGATAGAAAATGGTCACCACAAAATGATCCAAAAAAACCATGTATAGTTTCAGTATTTGAGAAAACGAGATTTACGAACTAAGTAAACATTCTGCATTTTGCTAATACCAGTCAATATAAAACTTAATGGTGTTGGTCTTGCGTAATTCCTAGCGGCAAATCAGGGAAAGAGCCTAAAGGAGATTTCGGACAAATAACTGAAAGGGGAAACAGCTTCATAACTCTCCTGAAACAAATGCTTGGAATTGAGGGCATTCTTTTTACAGCTGATTTTCGTCAATCATTTGGAGGGTCGCAGAGTGAAAAGGGCAGTGAGTCAAACCGCTGTCTGGCATTTTTTTCAACAGACAATATACTGTAACGACACATGATCGGCCTTTCGGGCGTTATATTCTCAGTTTCAGACCAAAACTTGTCAAGATCCAACCCAAATCTAGAGACCAGCAAGCAAGAGTGTCGATAAAAACAAAATGACTTGCAACTATCTAAGTTTCATATCATCAGGAAAACCACTAGGTATTGGAAAATGGTAACTGACGAACGCGGAATAAATGATTTGTTTAGGGTGAAGGGGAGATCTCATGGATATCCATTATGGGTATTCATTAGCATTACTTTGACATGCAGAAGTGGGCAGCTGCCATTATCAAAATACTACAAAAACACCAACAGTTTTCGTACCAAAATTGATTAGACAAAAAGTGAGCCTGGATCATATTATGAAATTTGCTGAAAGAAATCTGGCTTCGAAGGGTGACAGACCCTCTTACCTGTTTGTCATTATGATTTCATGTAAAACATATCAGAGCTGTAGTTGTAACAAATGTTGAAAGCCTATAATGTTCTCGCGCTAGCTGTGTCCCCTCGGCAGTAATATACTATATCTTTAAAATTGGGCATTCTTCAATTGATATGAATGAAATACGTAGTATTCGGAGCTTAGTTTTCGGCCGTTGCCATATTTACAGCCTCGTTACAAAAATGCCAAATCCACAACTCTCACTCTGCTCTCACTTACTGCTTAAAAAAGCAAATATATGATACAGAGGGCGCCCCTCTCACGGTTATGACAGATACTGCACTTTAGCTAGTATCTTTTCATATCTCTTAGCTAAGGATAAGAAGGAGTTGTTCTCCGAAATTGGGGTATGTCTGTCAAAAGTCAAATTGCATATCCATAGCGGTAGCGTCCTGAAATATTCAAGAGGTTGTTACACAAAAGAAAGCAGCAGCAGAGCAGAGCAGAATTGCAGAGAAAGAGCCGTTATCCTTAGATGTGATATTCGACTCAGCAAGCTTGAGAACAAGAAACCCTTGATAAACGGCTTTAGTAGCTTAAGGTATCAATTAGAGGGATGAGACGTGATAGAAATTCGACACTCTCAAGCATTTTAACAAGTTTAAGGAATATGAATCGCAAGACGTAAAAGAGGCTCCTACACTTGATAGTCTGTGGTTGTTCAAAGGCAGCGTATCCACTTTTTATGTACATGAATAAGTTGAATAGCGTACAGTTCCTCACGATGTTAAAGAGATTTTCTGAGCTAAGACTGTCGCTTACAGCCGCGAAGACTGCGTCTTGCAATAACATGTACTTAACCGGCATTTTTTCCTCCCTTCAGCCATCATACTATTGCTTTTCATTGCAATTATTAGCAAACATGTGAAGCAATAGAAACAGTATTAATGGAACAGTTCATATGCGGCTAGAGAGTTGAAGTTTAAGAGAGTGGGAAATGTTTTAGGAAAAAATTTGATTTGTTTTACGAGGCAAACGGTTAACACAAAGAAATAAGGAGTAGAGTCAGTCGTCAAGCTATTACATAAATTAGAGTTTACGTTGGTTCACTGATTTTATAAAGGCATGAAAATGAAACAGGGAAGGAAGTTGCCCTGCTTTGGATACTTCTTTCTAAATTTCAAGGAGACATCTCCGAATAAACTGCGAACTACATGAATAAATGTTAAATTGTCAACTGAAATCAATTACGCTTTAATTTTTATGTATGAAACAGCTGCCAAGTTGAGACAAATCCATGACCACGTGCGTACGTGCGTGTTGGGTGAATAATTCAGCATCTACCTTACACCCCCTGTCAAAACTTGGTGTATAGGCACTTTGAGAACAGCGAAACTAACTTTGGACAGGGAGCGGTGGGGCGCAAGATCTCAACATCGTCTGTCCGGGATTGTAGGTCACATATTAAAACATTGCCTTGCTGCATTTTCATGCCAAATTTATTGCTTTTTCGTATACGTATGTACCCTTGTTTGTTTTCTTGCTGTAATCTAAATCTGTTAGAAAATTGTAACGCTAAATCATGTTTCCTTTATGTGGCATACACTGTACCATTGCATTGTGCTTCATTGCATTGTTTGAACTATTCGTATTTACTTAGAGGCACTTCTACTTCTACTACATCTGAAATAAATTGACCATTTGAAAGCCAAACGAACTTATGAAAATGTTCGAAGTGTTACATTCTCTAATCAGTATTGATACAGTTCTGCCTAGAGCAGTAAGGTATTTATTACTTCGTTATTCAGTAGAAGTCAATTATCAAATTAAAGATACTATGGTGCATTCTATTTCAGTTCAAACCAAAGTTTATTATCGGACATATATTCAGTCGGCAAAAATGGATATACAGAGGACAAATGCAAATTTTGGGTTGTAGAGCAAACCTCCAAACCAATTTTCGACCATAAGCTGCTCATACTATGACTTGAAGGAGACATCATTGAGTTTAGTGATAAACCACATCAATGAAAGTGACACTGCATTTAAACGTGGTGGCTAATTTGGAACGACTACATCAAAGCCCGGACGGAGTTCATTTTAATGAGAAACTATGGGGTCGTCCCAGTAAACTTTTCCTATCTGTCCATGATAGATTAGAGAATGACACTTGCGCATTTAAAGCGGAATTCACGACAGGATGTCGATTCGTTTGCATTCACGAACTTTAAAATTTACCTTTAAGCGTTGCAGCATGTTTTCCCTTTTTGGAAAGTTGTCTCTGTTTTGGAGTTGAAGGAAAATACTGAGATTCGAAGCTTCATCTTTTGGAGCAACGTTTCGTTGTGGCAAAACAAACAAAATATGCAAGAATTTTTGTGTGTGTTAAGAATAGCATTAAAAAAATATTTCCTAAAATACTGCTTTCCAGGGCGAACATATAACTTACCCTTTCTGTCTTTGGGAGGCGATCCTCGAAATCGATGTAGCTGTAAAAAGAGCTACGATCATCAGCGTCCCCAGTACCACTACCCGTCGTTTCGTCAAATTGAAATTTCATTTCAGTTTTTGAATCTTTGAATGGCACGCACCATGACGTTTGTATTAAGACCAGCCAAAATAAAACCGCGTAGCTTGCATGTAAAATGTTCTTAAACATGATTTGAAATAAAACAACAAAATCCAACGAATCAGTATACTCTAGCCAAGAGTGAATGAAAAGTTGAGTAATTGCCACGCGTAGAAAACGTTAAAAGTGCGTCTCGTTTTCTCCTGTGGTTCTTGCCAAGGTGAAAACTGATTTAGCTGCTCTCTGAGTACGTCACCGCCACAATCATTAAATAACCTCGCGACAGGAGGACACGACTTTACCAAGGGCAGGATATTACTTTCACTTGATGAACAGAAAACATCTGCAAGGATCTAGATCTCGAGAGCGATTGGATTACGCGAATGCCATAAGACATATCAATCAAGCTCGTCGAACGATACAATGGCCATGAACTCTATGAATGAAATATCTTATCCTTGCCCCTCTTAACAAGACATCTCACAGTTGGCCAATAGTTTGGTAGCAGAGAAGCCCTGCTTTGTGATCGGTGACAGAGCTCCTGCTGTGTGACCCTGTAATGCTTCCGAGCTGCCTAGCAAGTCATGGCAATATAAATTTCCTTTTGCCCGAAGAACCGGTCAATGTTATAATTCATTTCGATAGGTTTTTAAGGCAAATGTCATGATTAATATAAAACCCGCCAATCACAAATGTACCATCAATTGCCCGCATTCGCAAGCTCAAGGGATTTCGTTCCTCTAAACCCATAAAAGATGACGCGATGACCATGCACTTATTTGGATTACATAGAGGATCACCTTAGAATGGCCGAACTTGATGACGTATAACTTCGCGAATTTCCCATACGCGAAACTCTGATCCACATTAATTACAGCACTATGCACTGCACGTTACTTTCAAAGGTGTTATAGGCAGTGGACTACGAAGGCAAATTCTCATGAAAAGAAAGAAGAGGAAACGGAAAGTCTGTTTTCTCTTCCGTTAATTCAGTTTGAGTAATAAATTCTCTATTCAGTTCTTAACCATTTAACTTTCCATTTGGGGACGTATTTGGTTAACTATTGGTGCGATATCATCTAACGATATAATAGATTTTATCACTATGAAAAGAAAATTTACTTAATAAGCAATAACTTTTAATAAGTTCTGGAACTGTCAGTCTGTCATCTTAAAATTAATAAGCTTTCTACAAATGATCTGAGGTCACTAAAAGAAGCTCCCTTCGTATGTTGTTTCAGTTTTTATATATAACTTCTTATGCATGATATTTCTTTATCAAAAAGTTCTTTTGGGAATTAAAACTATTCAAAAACCAAAATTACACAGAGATACCCTAAGGGCCAGCAATCAAGTTGCACCTTCTAATGTAAAGGAAGGACCTGGTAACAAAAACCATACCATGACAACAAAACTCAAGGTTTTATGGCTTGGCATTTGTCCAATCTTTTCACACACCAAGTTTCATAATCATTGGGTAACAGAAAAAAATTTAAATTTCATTTACAATTCTTTATCTATGTCCATGAGTTGACGTGACAAACTTGTCTTAGCTTTGTAAAAATATGCACATATTTCCTCTAAATGGACGAGACCTAACATATCAATATTTAAGGAAGGAAAAGGCAAATTGAGAAAGAAACACTCTCTTCACAGGGAAAAGACAAGAGCAAATTTCCCAACACTTTTGACATATTCGGTACGTAGCGAAAATAATCCAGCTCATGAAGCTGTTTTCGCATTTGAAGAGTAGTGTCAATTAGGCACAGTCAAGCTGATTATGAAAACAGGACAAGAGCAACGGCGCAACATCTCAACAAGAAATTTCGCACTGATTTGCAAAGATTCACACGCATTGGTTGGCCAAAACAGTTACATGAAAAAGAAAACTATCGTAAAACGATATTTTTAAAATGTAAATGCGCAGCTTCAAGCTAACATGAGGTTGCAACACAGAGGAAAGGTTACAACTCATGTGTGGTTTTGTAGCTCGATAAACACAAGTGAATTGATTGAATTGAAGGAAACATTGTTAGAAAGGTGGATATTGCGGAGGAGCTTTTGAATGAATGCGTAGCTGTAGTTCAGTCTTACGTATTTGTCCGCCTTGCGGCGTGACCTTCTCTGCTAGGCGCACACGCTATAACCTTTTTGCAAAGGAAAGTGGCAAATAGCAGTCTTCTTCAGATCACTAACCAAGAATGCTCATTTGCTTTGCAAATCGTCATAAATAACTCATGCAAGCCTTTCGAGCTAAAAGCGCCAAAACAACACTATTATTTTATCTTGCTGTTACAAAATTGCTTTACTCGCCATCTAGAGAGGCAGTACTATTAGTTATGGCAACAATAGTTACGTATCAAAAATTCTGTAGCAGTTGAACTTTCAAAGCATGTAGCTAAAGTATGAGTTTTGAACAAGAAACGCATAAAAGCAGCTTATAAGATTATTTATTTTTTGACCACACCCTCAAAGAGTGAGACAAGCCCTTTTTGTCAGCAAAAATCATTTCTGTACCCCTTCAAAAGAATTTTTGTTGGCTTCACCCTTGTCAAGCTTACAGTATTTTATAGTATCCAGAGAACTTTTCTAATTCAGTCATGAGTGGCACTGATCTTATTTACAGGACCAGGGCCTTAGAAATTGAAAAAAAGGTGGGGGTTTATCTATACCTGGAGCCTTTGCAGTCAAAAGCTGCATTGTCCGAAATCAAGCAGCGTCGAAATTTCATCTTAGCTAATTATTGCCTTAATATCTGTATTTCAGCCTTGTTTTGGGCAATTTCAAGTACACTCTTTTTTATAAGAACCAGATAATTTCGGCCAAGACTTAATGTTATTTGGATAATTTGAGGCCTGAGTGTTCTTAACGTTGATCTTAATCTAAAACTGTTTTTTATAACTACATACTATAACGTGTTTCTAAGGTCAACAATTAACACTTCTGCACGACATTTTTAGTAGCACGGTTGAATAGCCGATAAAATCTGCTCTTTTCTTAAAATCTGTTCTTACGCTGTTCCTATTATTTGGCAAATTAATTGTAGTTGGACCGGCCATCTCATTAGCTACATAAGGCAGTTAGAGGCACGTGTTTCACATCAACATTTACTTAATCCCGAAGAAATACCTTCTTTGTTTGATACAGCAAGTATCTAACCATAAAGGATTTAAGGATGCAGCAAAAAGATTTCCATGAAATGGCCTTTGAGCTTTGTACAACGACTCAGTAAATTTGATACACGACTCTAAACGAGAAGGTGCTTTTGACATTGATAACAGTTTAGTTTTTCTCAAATCATCAATCTCTTTTGCCGAGGAAAGATTAAGAGCACATAATTTTGAACACTTGTGGGTTATTATCATGGAGTGAATCCATTGTCAAAATTTTATCATCATCATAATTGTAAACAATTCCGCTAGAACATTTAGGCAACTCAACTGAAAGACTGGAACTGCTTTTTATGGCCGGCTTTGAATATAAAGTGCAGTTTATAGATCTCAGAAAAAAGCAGTAAATATAGATTTTTCTGCGCTCTTTTCCCTGGGAATTCACGATGAAGCTAATAATTTACGAAATTCAAAACTAAGTTTGTTTTTAATCAATAACGATAAGAAGTGTATACTGAAAATATGAAATGGTAGCTAAGGATGATATTTTCAGAATTGAATTTTGAAATTATATAGAGAAAAACTACTCTTTATATTTTAACTCAATATTGACAAAGTTCGCCTTTTTAATGTTTTTCATTCCTTTTTGCCTAAGTGGTAGTAACAAGGCCGCTTAGAGATTTAGGAGGCCCTAGTGAAATAACTTGCAGTAATCTTCTTGCAATTGTTTAAAAATGTTACTTTGTTAGACATAATTTTGTCACGACAGATAAATTCAAATCTTAAAACGGAGTTCATTCTTTTATGGTCCTGCTCGAGGTCCTGGGGCAATTTTGCAACACTAAAAAGATAATCTAACTGGTTGAACTAGATTTTCCTAACTTTTGGCTTCAATAAAAAATTTAAATAAATTGACTCCAATGTAAAGAATCCTATGCCGCGTATGACGTTTTCAATGACCACAAAGAGCAAGACATCAGTTCCACATTTTCTATTGATTTATTTTCATAAAATCTCTAAAAACTCAATTTCTTACCCAAGTCATATCACGCCTTGCCTGCAATCTTTAGCCAAAAGAAGTAAAACCCTTATACTTGATATAAACCCTAAAGATAAATCTATCCCTATGGTAAGCATACACTACCAAATAAAAGAAAATGTTTGCAAAACGATCATGCTTTCACTTAGAGGTTGTGACAAAGCTAACGGTAACTTAATCATTTCAAACATTACGATAGTTTCTTATCCCTGAGCTACTTTGATAGTTAACTTGACCTGACCTGAACGGTGGTAAAGCTGATTTAGAACCTACTCAGCAGATCTACATGTTCCATGAGTTGGTATTCGCACGAAAATTTTGACCTAGTTTAAAAAATCAATAAAAGCCAAGTAGTTATCGAATGTATTCCGTGAAACATTCAACTCACAGGTTTTAGCGAATTAGTGGTGGAAGCAAGTCAATAACACATATTTACAGTTTCTCATCAGATTTTACAAATGGCTGTGTAACCCGATTCCCATCTGTTATATACTAGGCCAGGCCATCTTTTATGTAGAAATGCTGCAAATGAAGCTGACAAGGAACGAAAATTTCATCGAAAATACATGAGCAGCATGCAAAACATTTTCTACATTCTCTTATTTTCTATGTTCTAAATTAGATTTCAAAAGATGGGAAAATTAGCAAAAAAGAACTGAGAATGGATGATTTTATACTGTAGGACATTAACTAAGCCAATATCCATACGTGTAATTACGCGTGAAGAACATTCCTGACAAAGGCATCGACTTTGCAATATTGATAGGACCATCGCATTTAGCGAGCAGTATAGAGCTCTTGCCAAGCAACACCACAATCTACAGAAACATTAATTTAGATTCTGGGTTGCATACAGCAATGCTGATGATATTTGTATTATAAGTTCAATTGATAACATAAGAAACAGGTTAGAAAAAAATCGAGTTGACATTTGGTTAAAATATCCTGTTAAAATTGGGGAATATAGATTGCACATCCAATCGCTCAGGGGCGAAGCCAGAAAAACTTTTGGAGGGGTAAAGACATGCTTTATGCCGACAAAAAAGGGCGTGTCTCACTTTTGAAGGGTTTGGTCAAAAGATAAATACTCTTATATACTGAAAGAAAAGTTAATACCTTACAGTTGTTAAAAAAGGTTCCAGGTTGAGTACAAAAATACCGTATTTTCTCTAATATTCCCGCTTCTCTTTTATTCCCGCCTCTCTAGTAATCCCGCTTGTATTTCATAGATTGTAAGAATAATCCCGCCTCCCCAATAATCCCGCATGCCGGATTGAAACTTTTAATTGGAATTTGCTATTCTTTACACACTTTGTATGGGTTGAAAATCAAGGATTGAAACTTATGCTTGGAGTGAATGGGTTAAATCACATGATAATATCATAGACGGGAGAGGGCAGAGAGCTGTCTTATTTTGCAAGTTTATCAAAAATCCAAGTCTCGCAGCATTAAAGACGTTTGATTCTTTGACTTCGTACTACTGTCTATAAAGCACAATATCTGCTCTGTCTTGTCTGTGAAAATAAATATCCCACCCCCCCCATTTAATTTTAACCCATCCCCCCTACCCCCATACATGTTGAAATTGCATTTTGTTCTGACTTGCCACAATCACGTTTAAGAGACTTTTTTGTTGAAACGGTATCTTCAAACTAGACTTCAAGACATTGAAAAAATAATCCCACCTCTCCAATATACCCGCCTCTCGAATAATCCCGCCTTTTTTTAGGTTGAAACGCTAATCCCGCAGCTGGAATATTAGAGTAAATACGGTAGCTTCTTTTGCCCCGCAAAAAATCCTGAACGTGCTGACGGACAAATTGTATGGGGGGAGGGTACCGCACATACCTCCCCCCTTTGGCGACGCCCCTGCAATTGATTCACATTGAAAACCCTTCCCTTTCTCTAGCAAGCTATACAACTTTTACTTTACCAAACTAAAACACTAAATGCATCCTTTGCTTTGCCAGGTCTTGTCAGGCCAGGTGAATTTGTGTGATTCTTGTTTGTGATATGCTATTTTATGCTGATTAATGCTATGATATGCTATGCTAGTTCATCGAAAAAGAAATGAAGATCATAGAACTCGAAACTTCTTGCCAGTGCATCTGAAAACGGGTCGGAAACCGATAGCAACCGCAGCGATTTTCGTCCGCTGTGAAATAAGAGGGTGCCTTGAGTATCGCATAATATAGATCATTAAAGAAAGCAAGTTTTTGTTTCCAGCAAAATCCGCAAAGATCGCAGAGAGTTTTCCGCAAGCCACTAACGGCCGAGGTAGCGGTACAGATACCGCAAAAGAACCAATACATCCTCAATAAAGCTAACGTCAATACCATAAGGACAGAACAACTAGACAGAAGCCAGCACCAAAAGCCGCTACATGGTAACTCATTGATTAAAAACTGTGTCACAGGTCAACTAAGGTGTTCCAGTGTATTAGATAGTAATTACCTGCTTGACGTTCTCCTGAAGCGAATTTTTCACAACCCGACTCTTTTCGATGTCATTTCTACTGCCGCAAAAATGGGAAATTTTCAAAGGAAGGCACCAATTTGTGGCATAAGATTGCAAAGGGTATAACAGTTAATGAATGCTTAATGCTCCGATTTCATACAATCACTATGTATTTTTAACTTGTTGATAAAACGAAAAAAAAGTCCTATGGAACAAGTATACCCCATTCTGTTGCTAAGGAAATTATTCGTCTACTAGTCGTCTTCAGATAAAATCTCACAAAACAAAGTGATAATAGATCATAGGCATTGAAATTCTGAGCAACCGTTTTTTAAACATAGTTCTATCCAGGGTTCAGTATTTTTATAGTGGAGAAAAGCGACACAAGGGCAAAATACCACAAAGGACATGGCTAGATTGGGATTATACAATGACAATTCGATTTAGGAAAATACTTTTTGCCGAAACAAAACAAGTGAGTTGTGTACCTTTTGAGGTAGGTAAAGTAGGCCTCATAATGGTCCATCTCTAAGAGGACCATTGTGGAAATTAGGTCAGCTAGACCTTTAAATGTTATCCCTACCACTGAAGTTAAGGGTGTTTATCTATGCTTTTAATGTTAATTATTGTATTATATTCTTTTTACTTTTATAACTTGTAAGTACTTTTACTGTGTCGAATTATACATACATACGTACATACATATACAGGCTGTGAAATGACGTAACTTATGGATCAGTGCAAATGCCAATGGGGTAGCTAACCAGTAAATACTGCAATGTATCAACTTTTTTTAAGAAGCAGCTTGACAATGACGTTTACAAGAAGTGAAAGATCGATGGCTTCTGTAAGCTTACAGAGTAACATAAACCCTATGGTTCAATGAAATCCCATCACTGATTCTTCCAAAACAAGAAACGCGAAAATCAAGTATCAAAAAAGCAAAGAAAGGAAAAAAGGTTCAAGAAATGACATTAAGGAAGTGTGAGGAACTTTCAGTAGCAATAAAACGTTTGCCGCAAAGGCACGCGGGAGGATAAACAAAAATCTGTTGCAAAACGATTATCAATCATTCTCTAAACCGAAAATCTGAGCGTTCACAAGATGAAAGGGAAATTAATGAAGATACCAAAGTGCATTTCAAAAGCTGATCAAGGAGTGTCAGTAGCACTGTAATGCTTTCGCAGTTGGCCCAACGAGTATGGCGGGCAGAACTTTTCTAGATTTCCCATCTTTAGACATATACTCCAATTGCGAATAGAAGTCCCGTTAAGAAGATGAAGTCACACTCTGGTGAAACATTTTCAACCTTCAAAACTCTACAATATCTACATCAAACAAAAAAGATTTAGTGCTGAATTGCTGAGTTTCACTGCAGAAAAATCATAGTTTCATCTGCGAGTTTGCCACTCTTGCATTTTACTACATGTTCTTTATTATAAAAACTATTTCATGTGTAGAAACTTATGTGTATAAAGACGAAACGTTTAAGGAATCTAGACTCCTACTGCAAATAATCGAAGAATAAGAGGGCCAATTCCATTCATTTGTAATCAATGACATTGTAGTTTTACATTGCTTTCTTTGTGTCTTGGTTTCGATTTCTAGCCATGTATAAAAACATGTATTGAAGTGAAGACAAATTAAAACAAGGGCTTATCGATCACGTAGAACTGCACTGGTATAAACTAGACATGGCAGGTTTCGGGGCGTTTACAAAAACGGATCGTTCTTAATGTGTTAAGGATTGTCTTTTCATCTTAAGGATTCGACAGAAGATTCCAGAGCAATACGATTCCAAGCAAAAAACAACAGTAGAGAGATTTTAGAGATTCCGGGAATTCGCTTGGACGATAATTCATGGCTAGAGTCAAATACATGGATCTACTTCAAAGAAAATTCGAAGGCACAATGGCCCTTTATTTTCACAAGATGGCTTGACTCCTGCAGTTTTCTGGCGCATGAATATCTTTTATAGCTCGGTCGATTAGGTGGAACACCCGATTATCAAGCTAAACAGAGATCAATGAACAACTGCCTTATTCTTTATAATTGGACGCTTGAATAAAGGAAAATGCTTTTCTTACATCGTTACCCGTATAATGTTGAGTGTGTAACACCAGCCCATATAGTTGATTAAGAAGGTACATACCGCGCCTTCATTGGGGCGTGTGAAATTAGTTTTAGAGGTTGACCTTTGAAAAGGAGGAATAAAAACACTTTGTAAGTGAGTTGGTACAAGGGAGAAAAAAATTGCTTACAGTAATCGAAAAGCAAACATGACCTGGTATAACGACAACGTATACTGTTTCAAAAGCTGAATGTCAGCGAGGAAAAAGATTGGGTGATTTTATCAATGGGATGAAGATTCAGTCTCATTGATTCATTGTACATGCAAGCAGTGTCTAACATTAGCCCAAAGAACACTGAGAACTGCAACTGAAGACCAGACAGACAACATAATCGACATCCAGCAATGGCTCGAGTCGAGACAGATTCTTCGTTATCAAAGTAACAGAATATATATTTAAAATGGCTCGAGTCGAGACAGATTCTTCGTTATCAAAGTAACAGAATATATATTTAAAAAGATGCATGCTAACTCGACTATAGAACTAGGTATTTTCGTGTATGTAAGAAAAAGACGTATGGACATTTTAATTTCCAAAAAACTATAATAAATATTCATTGAAAACTTATAACTATTGGTGTCTATAAAGGTTAAGTCTTGTTTACGTTGGTCAGATCCGCTAATTATAGTCTTTCTGGACCAGTCTTCCTCTGGGAGATAGGTGGCTAAAATAACCATTTGAATCATGGTAAAATACCCGATCAATCTGCAATTTAAGAAATAATTTTGAAGAAAAAAATGATCTTTGCTATGGAGGTTGAAACTTTTAGATAATTTTCAGCATAAGCACGAGTTAAAAATCGCGTTCGGTATGCTAAATTTTTTATATGACATTTAAAAAGCTATAGGTTACGGGTGGGTTAACGTCATTACGGGACATCAGACCAATCAGATTCCCCGCCACCTATTCTCTAGCCAAGGACTCCTCAACGAAGTGAGAGGATCGCAATAGCCGATTTACCAAAATTAGGGAACCAATCAAATGCATCATTCTTCCTCTCACGTGACTTTAGACCTGCTTCTGGATATAAAGTATTTCGTATATACACTGATAGGTGTCAAAAGGTAATTTAGTATGCTCCGTGTCCGCTTTTCCGTATAAACAAATATTTATTCCTGTAAAGGACGCACATTGTGTTGATATGAGGCAAAATAATACAATTAGTTGGCCTTAATTTTGAATCATCTACTGTAAAAATGAAAAGATATTCTTGTTACGGAACATGGACATCATTTTTTAGACTGCGAATTGAGTCTCCATTAGACATAAACCATTATTCATATTTCTCTTACATTTATTTTAGCTACAAAGTGAACCTTATCTCTATCTAAACCCTTTTACTGGAATTTTAGAACTATAGTAGTTGATGGTAGTTTTTTCTTATCTAACTAGGTTATGCCTGATGTTTGGCGTTGTACACTTGCAAGTGTTATTGCTCCATTCATACGGACTTTGCTTTCTGATAAAATCTTTCTTTGGCTGGTGAAAGGTGGGAAAGATTTACGTTTTTATTAGTTTATTCATCCATTTATTCATCCATATACCCATCCACCCATCCATCCATCCATATATCCATCCATCCATCCATATATCCATCCATCCATCCACCCATCCATCCATCCATCCATCCATCCATCTATCCATCCATCAATCCATCCATCCATCCATCCATCCATCCATCCATCCATCCATCCATCCATCCATCCATCCATCCATCCATCCACCCACCCACCCACCCATCCATCCATCCATCCATCCATCCATCCATCCATCCATCCATCCATCCATCCACCCATCCATCCATCCATCCATCCATCCATCCATCCATCCATCCATCCATCCATCCATCCATCCATCCATCCATCCAACTCATGAAATCATTCCAAAATCATAGCTATGTCGATGCAAAACTCTTTTGACCCTAATTGGTTGAACCAAATTGCTTTTTCCACAAAGAATACCAAAGTAATTTGCTAACATTATTTCAAAACTATGGTATCAATTTAAATAGAATGGCAGCTAGGTATTTTTCCATGCCATATAACACCTGAAAGTGTTGCAAAAGAACTCTGTAAACTATCTACCATCGTGTCATAGAAGCCTTCTCACTAGCTTTTTTACTGACCTGTGGAAGATATTGCTTTCTCGGTGTATGATAGTAATGTTTTTGGCTTATTTGGGGGTTATAGTTTTGTTGGGCAGCTTAGTCTTATGAAAAAATTTCAATGAGTTTTCAGCTGACCAATGAGCGTATTTTTTGTAACTGCTGGATTATTTAAACTAGACAAATCAAACTAGGACAGTGGCTACCAATTATTCTTTATGCTCATTTTGAAACTCGAGCCTGTCGCTTTCTTTTCTGAATTAGTTCGCTTAATGCACCCGCCCATTTCCTTCATCTAGCTTCAAATCTTTATTAATCTGCACGTTTGCTGTGCTGAACAAATCATGATCCAAATCACTGTGTTCGGCTTACAGCTCTGCACCCGTCTGATTCAGACATCAATAACTATGGTTATCTATTGAGAAAGGGTTGGACTACTTGTAAATCGTATTATTCTTATGACCAGGAAAGGATGAGATGCTAAACTGAAGCGACAACAATAATTACCATTAGGTAGAACACGCACTTTTACATCCACTATCGATAGATTTCAATTATTGAAAGCCTATTTTATTGAACTTATACAGCTCACCTGATTTGAATGAAATGATATTGATTAAGCTCGCAAAAGTTTTTGCTTGCACAATATTCTGATTCTCTTGGTTTTCGACACACAGAGAGGCTTGTTCTTTTGTATCTCCATTTGTGTGCCACTTTGATGGCTAACGTAAGAACTTTCATATATCTTAATTGAAAAATATGCGCACTTTTATGTTCAGCTTTAAAGTACGGCAAGAAAAACACCTAGAAAATGAACAAAAAAGGTTCCCAGTCAAGAAAAACTGCCACTCCTTAGGAGTATACGATTCAATGTTGCGTTAGAGCATAGTTAGAGTAAACTTACTAAAAAGTTTTCTAACCTGTTATTGCAAAAAGGTGGAGGGACTTTAGCCCCTGCTAGCCCAATGGCTGCGCAGTGCCTGGGTCTTATGACCATTCCCTAAGTTGCTTTTTAATTCATCTAACAAGCGCTCTAAACTTGATTTTCCTAAAAATTGCTCCCTTTTTATGTTGGATTATTTTCTGGATCTGTGGATTTTCATTTCTAAGTTTTCTGCAAAAAAAGAACTTCTTTATAGCCAGGATGATGCGCTGGTCAATCTAACTCAGCATTCTGTTAGCCCGGTACAACTGTCTTCTTTTACAGACACTCCCATTACGTACTGATCGTGTATGGAACTCAAATTTACCTTTCCATTTATACTGAAAGCCTGTTTAAACCAAACTGAGAACTGCTAGGCGAATCTGCAAACAGTTTCACTAGCTATCGTACAGTATTACTTGCTTTATCAGGCTTAGAATGTATGCCAAGACAATTTGTGAAATCGAAACCGTTCTCAATTTTATTTTTCTCTACCTAGCAACCGTAGGTAGTTTTAGGACACTGAGAAGCCTATTCATATGGAGCAGTGTCCTGGTCCTTCCTCTCGATGTGACCACACCTCGTGATTCCTTCACCTGGAATTGGAAGGTGCCAGCGACTCCCCTTACTCTGGGTCAAAGTTTGGTCATGCCAGTAACTCAAACCACGGTCATTGGATCTGTAGTCGGTGACCCTAACC